TGATTATATTAGTTGTAGCCTAATAAATAAGATATTTTATAACAACGTCATTATATAAAGCACGTACCAAAAATTGGCACAATAAACATAAATGTGCTCTAATTCTTTTAACAAATAAATATTATTTTTGAATAGAATAAGAAACAACTAATACAATATTCATGAAATGGAAAAAGAAAAAATTAAAATTTTCTTCGAGAAATATGATTACCAACATCTAGAAACAAGTCTTTTAAAATTAGTATTCTTTTTTTTGTTGCTAGCTTTTAAATATATGGACTCTGTAAGAAATTGGTTTCTCATAAGTAATGAATGATCTTATATTATCGATTTTGAATTTTAAAATAACTAAAAATTACAATATTTGTGATACATAATGTAGATTTTAATAAGACTTTTCCTCAAATATTTCAACAAATGATATGCTTCTTAATATTATCTCATTGTTTTGTTTTGTCATTGTTAAAGAATCAAGAAATAATATTTATCTTGAATTGTAAGCATTATATATGATATAAAAAAAAATTAGACAATAAAGGCATTAAAAATGTTATTAGGCACATAAATATGAATTCAAACGAACATGAAAGATATTATGATAAACAACTCTAAAATCATTACGACAACCAGATGATCAATGATTTGCAAACAATAGTTCTATGGTTCGTTTATCTTCAAATAAATAACATAGAAAAAGAAATATCGAAGTCTGATCAAAACATTTTGGAATGTTTAAATGAAGTTGTCATTTTTTGATAGAACTTCTTCTTCTTCTTCTTCTTCTTCTTCTTCTTTTAAATGGATTAAGTCCATATTCTCTAACATATCACGATTCAATAGTAAGAAAATAGAACACAGAAATATACAAATACCAGCAGAGTACATGTGTACAAACTGGAGATATAAAGCTTCGGTTTCACAAGAATTCAGTCCTACCAAAAAGCTAACCGAACTGAATGAAATGGTCTGAAAAGGGCTGTAAACAATAGCACATTACATAACTAAGGCTCCATGATTACATCTAATTCGAACAATGGACCAATACGTTACAAATGAAGGACAAAAGGAGCAGTAATCAGCACAATGGCTGGAATAAGTTCATTGCACAGCAATTGATTACGAACTCTAAGGTCTAAGCGTTAATTCCTGAATCCAGAGAAGAGTGAGTAAAATGTTTCCTGCAAGGCATGCCATAATTTAATTCCCGCGAGTTAAAAGCAAGAAATAAAATCTTGCAATACATAAAAGAGGTGCTCTGATATACTGATAATACCTTACTAGCCAAAATTGAAGTATCATAATAGTTTAAGGCCTGCAGGGTGACGGCGCGTGTTCTTAATTTTGTGTTTCTGCAAAGTTATCAATTGTTCTCAGTGGTTGCATAATTTTGTTGACTTCTCTTTTTTCTCGTCTTTAAAGGGACTGAATCCACCCCATCCTGCTTGAATTTCTCGACCATTGTGTAAACCTTCACAAATTAAAAAAAAAAAAAGTACCAGCAACACTTATCAAAGCAAAGCTGTAAAAGCATCAACAAATTTTGTTGAATAATTTTGATACTTCCAAGTAATGATTAGCTATTATGTGGGAGATGCATGTTTCAAAAGAAATGTCTCAATACAATAGTAACTGAAAACGAATATCTTTAACATGGACCTATAGAAAATCTATCTTACAGTATATAAGATGAATTAAGAACTAATCAGACGGAATCACATAGTATGTATATGGAGAATAAAGAAAATGCCCTAGGTATGAGAAATTGAATACTGTACTTCAAGACAATATTTACTAGCTACATTCAGGCAGAGCTCAAATACTGTCGCAGAAGGTAAAGATAAGAAAAAAAAAATTATATTAGAGCCCACCAGCTGAAAGTCAAATTCTTTGTTACTCAATATCAAATAGTTAAATCTAAAAGTTCCAATCCATGAGTATACCATGAAGTTACAAAGGTTGTGCGGTAAAGTAAACATTTTCAAACCGTCTTGCTGAAGATAAAGAAAAGGGCTTGCTTACTCATCTAATGCTAAAGTTCGCTACATATGGGACACATCTTGTACATTTAACTTGGGTAATAACTGTCTAGTCTGTGGTATGACTTACTCAACAACTTCCAGATCAGCAATTCAACAAGCACGAGATCAACACTCAGCAGTACAGAACTCAACAGTTGGATATGAAAATAGTACCTTCCTTACTCCAGATGTCAAACCCAAAGTTGAAAGGGCCTTGCTGTCAACGCACTTCCACTTCACAGTAGTGCTCCCTTTCTCTTTTGGTAGAAAATTCAACCCATCTTCAAATAAAGTCCAAATGCATGTTATCATAGAAAAGAAACCAATCTTAACAAGGTATAATATTTTCATAAGCAAGTTTGGGTACACACACACGCACACACACACAC